CAGGGTGAGCAAAATTGTTGAAACAATTAGAGACTGGCCCCCTAAGCCAAAAGGTGAAAGCACTCCAAATGCCCAGGAAGTTGGAGTAATATTGCACTATTTGGCACTCATTCAGGCAACCAATGCTCGCTACGTCCAAATAACTTCAAGACAGCGCTGCAGCTCGAAATACCAGCACAAGGTTGACCTAGCCCCCGTCGGAACTGGTCGATACTACGCAGAAGCAAGCAGCCTCGCCAAAGCGCAATTCTAGAGGTAAGCGTCGGTGATTGGCTCTTCTCAAGTGCACACAGAGCTTCTTTCGCCCGGTGCGTTTCTTTGCGATTGCCAAGGATGCTGGTGGAGCTGGTGAAGCGCTGCCCCGGGCCTGGGGTGGGGCTGGAGATTTTGGACCGGGAGGCTAATGCCGACCTGCCAGGTGGGTGAAGGCGGGGAGGGCCAATGGGTTGGAAAGGAGACAGGCGCTGCCCGGTCCGGCTCCTTTCGGAGGGATAGATGGCACTGGTGAAGTAGAGCCGACTCAAACCAGTGGACTCCGGCAAGTTTCTACCAACCGCGTCTAAAGGACAGCTATGCGGGTGGGTCTCAAAGTCGGAGACATCCTACTGGGCGGAAAGAGGCCATGGACCAGGAAAGAAGAACAACACGCCAGTTCCCGCTTTTAAGCAGAGGCCTGCACTCAACCGTTTGTGACCCGGCTATATCAAGCTCTTGAACATGAGGCAGCCTGAACATAGGGCAGCCTCATGCAGACACGTGCGAACTGATGCAATATGTTTCTTCATCAGGGTTGGGGATGGATGCCGTAGTTGCAATGTAAGTTGAAACCACGTGCAGGGAAAGCTTCTTTGGTTCTGATATTTGGCAGACATGGCACAAGATCAACAAGGTAGGGCAAAGGGTTCAAGTTCGTGGCGAGTATGTTTTTTTCGTGTGACATTCTGCACGAGCAACGAGCTGATCGACATGATCTCTGCTTTGGAAGCATTGAGGAATTGCTTGTCTATCCGACGACCGAGGGCGGCAAATTTGCGCGATTTGTGTAACATGTTCAAGCAGCCGATGATGCCATAGCCGACTCATGTGTTGTCCCTCACCTATTTGATTTCTGAGGGTGTGTGCAGCTGCGTTTTCCAGGCGCCTTCACCCACATTTGAGCTCATGCAACACCTCGTGACCTCGTGGAAGCACCGAAGGCACGTGCGTGCTAAGCCGCGCTTAGTTTGGTCCGTACCGGGATCGTGACGTTTCTTCCATTTGCAGCCGGGTGCTTAGAAGTCACATGGGATCCAAAGGAGATCCTGAAGTGCAAGGGAAGCAAAGATCTTTCCACTTCCCGCCGGAGAACAGATCTGTGAAAGACAAGTGAACGTGCGCTTGGTGAGCAATTGGGTGTATGTTTGCAGTTGTCATTGAATTGGCTATAGGAAGGCACGGTGCGGGCTCTCTCTCCTCGGTTGGCAACATGCACATTCACCAGATTTGTTTCCGTGACGTGCCCTTTTGTGAGCCCCCTTACATTCGCAGGGCCAGTGTAGATGTCTCCACCAAATACTGGCTTCAGCTGATGGCTACTCCAGGACGTGATGCCCTTCTACACAAAGAATCATGATTCGAGACCTCCAGCAGTGATGCTGTTTTTGTTTGTCCAGATCAAGTAATTCCCAATGGAGGTCTTGGTGCTGATACAGAATTCCATTCATCTCAGAAAACATGTTGCACTTGCAACCGGAAGGCCGGTAAGACTTTTGAGGTCAACATGTTTCGAACAGGACCTGCATGTTTCGAAGACGGACACCAGCACCTCACCACTTCTTGATCCCCCTAAACACATCTCAGACCTGCCAATCCCCCAACACCTCACACCACCTACCACACCTACCACACCTACCACTTGCCCCACCTGCCACTTAGCCCTCTCCCAAAAACACCCACCCGACTACTTGGGACTTTGCAACCTCCCCCCACCTGTCATATGGCCGCCTCCGTGTCCGACGTGCACCTCTTGGAGAGCGGTGAAGCTCCGGTCTCCCGCGCGGCGGCGCTTGGCCGGGCCTGCACCGAGGCGAGGGGGGGGGAAGGTTCCTTTTTTGGCAGGTTTGCGGATGCACTCATTCCAGTTGGTTTTGCAATCCCAGATGGGCCCAGCTTTGGACCACCATCATCAAGCCTTGGTAGATGGTCGGACAGTGCTGCTAAGTGCTGGTGGGTGTGTGTTTTCTTGTGGGCACCCTTTTTGGGGGGCCCAAGAAACTGCACCAAGTGTTGTTAGGGGCACACAATAGTTAGAAGATGCAAACCAAAAGCAACAACCAAGAAACAACCAAACAGCAAACAAATGCAAAATAAAGGGAACCCACATGTGGATTTGGTTGCCCCAGAACGAGAATGGGGCTTAGAGACCGGTATGTGAAGACAATGAGCACTAGGTATTCTGTTGCTACCCGCTAGCAAAGCCAGGAAGGCGCGCCAAGAGCTCTGCTGCTTGATGCCTGAGGAATACCCTTACATACACACATATACACACTTACGCAAACATATGACAAACAATCACACACACATACATACATATGCACACGTTTACACACATATACACACATATACACAGTTACAAACATATACATGCATATACACACATATACACACATGCATACACACGCACACACACACACAGACCAGCGCACATAGACACACGCACGCACACACACACACAGACCAGCGCACATGCACGCACGCACGCACGCACGCACGCACGCACGCACGCTTGCCCGCCTGCCTGCCTGCCCGCCCGCCCGCCCGCCCGCCCGCCAGCCCGCACGCACGCACGCATTCACGCATTCACACATTCACGCATTTACGCATTCACGCATTCACGCATTCACGCATTCATCCACGCACGCACGCACGCACGCGCGCGCATACACACATACGCACACATACACACACATACACATACATACACATACATACACGCACATGCACGCACATACACATACGCACATTCACACATACGCACGCATACACGCACACACAGACGCATACATACACGGCATACACCCACATACACGCACATACACGTACATGCGTGCACATATATTGCTTTACATTAGATTATATTGCGTTACGTTACGTTGGGTTACATTGCATCGCACGACATTGCATTGCATTGTATCACATTGCACCACACCACACGTTACATACAGTACATACAGTACAGACATTACATACTTTGCGTACATGCATTTGATACATACGTATGTACATTACATGCACCACATACATTACCATGCGTGACCATACATGACCATACATTACACTAACCCAACACACATACATTAACGTGCAGTATCACACATTAACATACATTAAAATAGATCAACATGCATACACACATACATGCATACACACATACATACTTACTTACTTACATACTTACGTACATACATACATACAGACATACATACGACATACGTTACATACGTACATATGTACATACGTACGTACGTACATACGTACATACGTACATGTCTACTTGCCTACCTACCTACATACATACACACACACACATACATACATACATACATACGTACCTACATACATACGTACCGGCAGGCATATGTACTACATCAATACATACAAATGTACACAGACATGCATACATACACACATTCATACAGACATGCATACATGCAGACATACATCAATACAATGCAAGAACGTACAACACACTACTCTACACGACGCGGCACGACACTACACCATGTACAGTACTAGACAATACGACACAGCACACTGCACCACAACACGCTATATCAGAATGCAATACAAAACAGCTCATTACATTACGTGACATGACATTACATTACCGTACATCTACATTGCATTGCATTTTCATTACATTGCACTACATTAAAATGTATTACGTTACATTACATTACACTTCATTGCATTACATTACAATACATACATACATACATGCACGCACACATACAATACATAGGCACGCAAATACGTGCTGTCAATGTTGTCACTCCTTTTGATGTTGTCAACATCTTAAATGTTGCCAATGTCGTAGATTTTGTCAATGTTGTAGATGTTGTCACACATTTTTTGAAATAGTACGCGTGTAGATCAGGGCAGCCTGTTGACATAGATATATACATATCTACTTCTTTCTCCTTCTCTCGTTCTCTCGTCCTCTCTGGCGTGAGGAGCTCGTCTGGGTCTGGCGTGAGTCGGAGGACCTGATGGTGGAGTTCGCGGTGCACGTGCCCTGCTGGGCCTCCATCGAGCGTTCCGAGCTGCTACGAAGGCGGTACCTGCGGTGGAACCCTTTGCCTGGGCCCCAAGGTTTCACTGCGCTAGAGGGTTTACCCACGTTTGTCCCAAAATGGGGGTACCCCAGAATGGCGGGAAGAATATATATATATACACATATATATATATATGGTTTTGTGGCCGCTTGCGACGTGAACGTGTTACCGCGGTATTTTTCTTGCAAGTGACAGAGCAGTCATTTGAAGTCATGGGATGGACGACTTGCTTTCACAGAAAGGGCGTTCCCCGCAACCTTGCGGGGCTCGGCTCCGCAGGTTCTGCTCCCCTGGAGTGGTGCAACATTGGCTTGAACAACCAGACTCCAGGTTCCGCTCCACTTGTTTGTTCGGTTTGTATAATACAGGATTGTACTCAAGACGCGTTTTTCTAAGGTCCCGAGAAATTCAACAAACCAAGCAGCAACAGTTTTAGGTGTCCTTCTCCAAACCGTGCGGAGCATCAGCTGAAGCCGTGAAATGACTCCGAGGTGGTGGTTCAGCATCCTGGGCTGCGCCGTGTGCATCCTGCTGGGCCACGGTTTCCACGCCGCCTGCTGCCAGGGCGCCCCCGTGCGCGCGGACGAGCCGGGGGCCCCACTGAAGGGAACCAAAGGTGTTCCCCTCGATGCCTCGAAAGCTAAACCAGATTTTGAGGAGAAAAAAGAGGTCCCGAGGAGTACTTTTCTTCACTTTGTTGTTTTTGTTCGGGGGTGCCTGCTGAGCAAACAGAGCTGGTCTCCTCTAGCATCCTCCCTTTGTCCGACATGTGCTGCTGTACTGCTGGATTTCAAACAAGCTGTCACTTCAGGTTCTGAAAGGGGAAATCCTGTTTGGTGATCTTTTTTGGGCTCAGGGCCAGCCCCCTCATACCTCCCTAAAACATGAAATTGGGGCAGGGGCGGCCCCTCGTTTTTCTTTCCGGGATAGACTCGGCTGGCGTTATCCCCGCCCCCTCCCTTTATTGGCCCGCGAAGATGCCTTACATGAACAGATTTTGTCTCGCTGGAGGTCTAATAGAAGCGCCTTTGCTTGACTTGCAGAATCCCTGTGAGCTGCCCAGACCCTCAAGAGATCTCATGTCCAGGTCCTTTCAGCAACTGAGAGGAGTGTTTTTTGTGCCGCAAGGACTCTCTCTTGCACTAAGCTGCACTTGCTAAGATGCTGCAAAGGTCGCAGGGTTGCGCTGCTCGTGTGCTCATGCCTCCTCTTCGCCCTTTCGAGGTTGGAGGTGGAGCGGAGGGCCCGGGTGTGGTGGGTCTACTGCTACTCTGGAGGCTTCGTGGGGACGGTGCTCACGGATCTCATCGCGCTGGTCATGGCGGTGGTCGGGAACAAGGATGCAGAGGCGCGGGTGGTCGGTGGGCGGGCCGGGCTGGCGAGCGGGTGGGTGAGGGTCGGGCAAGGACGAAGATTAATATTAATATTCCACTCTCTGAGTTGGTACTCTGATCCCTGAAATGCTGTCGGGGTTTGGTTTCAAGGACGACTCAAGGAAACCACGCATTTTCTGTGCTTCCCAAGTTGAAGACAAACCGAAATAGGTGGTCCGTCGTGAAAGCCGTGGAATCATAAGCGCACCTCGGGGTTGCAACAACAAGGGTTCGCAAAGACGATGGCCCCGTTTTGCATTTCCTGAACATTGAGAAACACATGAAACAAAATGGAGCGTGAAACGAGTAAGCACATGTTTGACAAAAGTTGGGCGGCGAAGATCGTCCGCTCTGCGGTTTGAGATCAGTGCATTGCCGCGTTGAAAAAAAGACGCCACTAGACCTCAAATCGGATGGGCAGGCGGGATCAGCATGAATGTACAACAAAGGAAACTGCGAGACTCGGCTTCCAGCAGCAACACATTCAAGCAATGACATGATGTGTGTCAAGCTCTGACCTACTAGGTAAATCGCAGCAGGCAATTCCTTCAGTGGAGAAGGCGTCAAGCCAGGACAGGAACCCACAGAGGCTAGAAAGGTCAGCAGTCAGTCCACCAACCTTGACAACCAATGTGAGCTCACCGCGACGACTTGCCAGTGAACCCCCCGCTCGGCAGGAGCGAAACAGGACCATCCGCTCATGCCAAGTGGCCATTTTGATTCAGCTGTGGTACATGATCGGCGACTGGAATTTGCTCTTTCGCATGAGCCGCACTTTGGCAGACATTTGTGGGGGAAAGCATGTGTGCATGTGAGTTTTGCGGGGACCTTCGACCAAGGTGACTCTCAGTTTTGTGTCAGCTGACATCCTAGGACAGCGTCATTTCCTTACTAAAGAAGCGTCACACTCGATGTGTCGCCAGCGCTTGTGTTGAGGGAGGGAGCGAGCTGGGATGCCACGCCTTTGAGAATTCCATGGCTGGGACAAGCTGCCAGCTGTGCGTGCCGTGACCCTTTCGCGGCTGTCCGAACCAGCACTGATGATCGCACATATCAACCAACACTTTCTTTTGAATTTTGTTGGCTGCTGCCAGAATACGTCCTACCGCTATCCAAGGCAAAGACACCGTTCTCATGCACGCGGCCGCCATCAGTCGTGTGACCTTTGGAGCAGCCTTTCTTGTGGCGTGCCTTGAAATAAATCAGTCGTCAGGAGACAACTTATATCATAACCGAAGGAAGTCCTTGGCAAGGCTGAACGCATGAGAGCAAATCCTTGTGCTAAGCTTGAACGACGGTTTGTCAGGCATACACTTGATGGCCCAGACTCATGTGGATGAAGGCTTGGCTTGGCTTCTTAGGAGCTATATTGAAAGAGACTGAGCTGCCGCTCCGTCATGCGTTGGGTAGCTTTCACCTTTTTGAGTTTGAGGCAGATCAACATGGACCTCTGTTTGGGCACACGTGCAGCCCTCGAGTTACTCCCCTGCAGATTAACATGCACCCCCCCGCCGTCTTCCTTAATTGGACATTCTTTCTGGCAGACCCCTTTGAGTTCTATGTGAAAATGCGGAAAATGCGGAGATGCGGAGTGCCCGAGTTTCCCTCTGGCGCTTGAGGTTCTGCATCGGGCTGCTGACCCCGGCGGGGCAGGCGGCCTTTGAGCACTGGGCGGAGGGTTTGCCGGAGGCTGGCGCCAAGCCGCCGCCACCGCCGCCCCGGGAGACGGCCGGGGGACTCAGGGGGCTGGGTGCGACTCGGAGGGCAGGTGTTGGCTCCAGGGGGTGGCGGTTTGACCGGTTTGGGGGAAATAGGAAAAAAGCGCCTGGGGGTTCCTTTGGTTTCAATTGGAAAAGAAGCCCAGGATAGGTGGCTTGGGAGGCAGGGACCAGGGCTGGGTTCACTCACCGGGGTACTTGAGGTTCGATGAACAAATATTCAGACTTCTATTTTGAGGTGTACCACGGTCAAATCATCCTTCTTTGTGTCTTTTTTTGAAACAGTCTGAAAACGATGTTCAGAGTCCTTGTTTCACACATGCTTCGTTTGTATGGTTTGCCTGAGGTAACAGCCAACACAAGATACGGGAAACTGATGTCGAACCTGAGGCCGCCTTTGGATCATTTTTTGTCGGAGCCCAGGAGGTGGTTTGCCAGGGTTCCTTCTGTGTAGCTTGGTTCACATGACCCCACCTGAAGGAAAGCTCAGTCACAAAAGCAAGCAGAGTAAAAACCTGAGGACCACCCCAAAAAAGGAGACAAATGGGTTTGCCTCCAAATAGACGCGGTTTGCCCCGTTTGAAACAACCCCCCCAGAAACAGTCATGACTTCAACTGATTTGATTGTGATTTCCTTTCGGTTTCCCCGCATCCAAAAGGGGAACCCGAGAAGGACCAATTTTGCCCCTTGAGGGGACCCTCAACACATTTGCAGGCTGTGACCTGGGTGATCCGCCTGGTCTTCTGCGCCTTCATGGTGGTGGCTTACCTCGGTGCCTCGGAGAGGGGGTTGATGTGGGCGTGGTGATGTTTTGGAGTTGGCACTCTGATTCACGCTGAACCTAGAATCTCAAACCGCAGGCTACACGCCCCTGCTGCGCCTGGACTACCACCAGGCAGATGAGGACACGCAGCGGGAGCACTGCCGGGGCATTTGGAAGCTCAAGGCCGGGGAGGTTCTTGCGTACCCTTGTGGGTGTGTTTTTCTTTGAGGGTACAGCAGGGCAAAAGTAGATGGGCACATTTCTCTTTATTTGGGAACAGTAGAGGGGATGCTTAAACCACAATCGAGGAATTGCGTCGTACACCTTCCAACTGTACCCCTTTCCTGTTGGTTAGGGAAACCCAGAGGACAGCGACCAGTCTTGGGATCACTTGGAGCTCTTTGTTACGCTCTGTGAAACTCTGCTTTCCCAAAGCCTCGGACTTGGACTTGCTGATTATTGGGTGCCAGATTGGAGACTTTAGGCCTGAGGCTTAGACATGTCCGTGCTCCCTGATGCCAGCAGCCAAGCAGGCTTCATTTGTCTAGGATCCTTGCATTATGGACAGTTGGGATGACGCCGCACTGACTTTTTTTCACAACACATTCTTTCTTGAAGCACTCCTTGACAGAAATGTGTTTGCCTCTTGAGAGAGAGGACAGACAGGTACACAATGCAACCGAGAGCAACCGCAACACAAAACACCGCAACATGCTAACAAACAAGCAAACAAGCAAGCGAGCGCGCGAGCGAACGAACGAGCAAATACACACACACACAATACGACCACGGCCAGAACCACGACCCCAACCACAAACGCAAACACAACCGCACACAACCACAACACGACCACAACCACAAACACATCACATCACACCACATCATAACACAACACATCACAACACAAAAATACAGCACAGTATACAACAAGCATGCAACACAACACAACACAACACAACACACACGACACAACGCACACCACACACAACATGACAGCGATACAGATACATGCACCACTGCACAACACAACGCAACCCAACGCAACTCAACGAACCCCAACGTGACCCAGTGCAACGTGGGTTGTGGTCCACGTTAGCCAATCCTAGCCATTCAGAAACCTACCCGAACCCAATCCTCAAACCACCCCAAATCAACCTCCACCCAGAACCCATAATACACACTACATACGCGCATACACACATGCACACATACATACGTGCGTACATGCATACATACATACATACATGCATACATAGCACAGCACAGCACAGCACAGCATAGCATAGCATAGCATAGCATAGCATAGCATAGCATAGCATAGCATAGCATAGCATAGCATAGCATAGCATAGCATAGCATGCATACTTACATACATACATGCACACATACATACGTATATACGTACATACATACATACATACGTACATACATACATACCTACCTACCTACCTACCTACCTACCTACCTACATACCTACATACCTACATATCTACATACCTACATACCTACATACCTACATACCTACCTACCTACCTACATACATACATACATGCATGCATACATACGTACATACATACATACATACATACATACATACATACATGGCTTGCCAATGCCTGCGCTCGATGTGGGACCAGTAGCCTGTTTGTCCAGATTGGCAATACGACAGCGCGATCAGAACCAACCGTGAAGGACAAGCCATAGTCAACGCGGCAAACACATGACAGAATACGCGCTCAAAACTTGTGGCTTTCCTGAAGATTGCGCAGCGACTGAACGTTTGCTACAAACGGGATCCCAACCTCCCCTCCCTTACTAAGGCCTCAGCAGGGCCCTGGTTTGCAGAAACAGGACAGGGGAGGTTGCGGGTGAGTTTTGCGCCTCCCTCTGAAACCACACGAATCCACTGTATCTCCCCTGCAAACAGCTTAGGTGGCGCTTGTCGCAGGGGTGCTGATGGTGGCGGTGGAGGGCTTCATGTTCTCTAGGCGAGTGCCCTGAGGGGAGGACGCAGCTCTCCAACATGGATGGACATTGTGGGTTCAAAATAGGGATCTCCAGGATGGGTGGTTTTTCTATCAGCTTCCCTGGAACCCCCCCCCAAAAATGGCATCATCATAAAAGCTCAGCACATGTTGCTGTGAATTCGAACAGTTGGAATGACAGAACCATCTGCGAAGCGGGGTTTCATGCAATCGCCAGGGGCCCCGGCTTGTGGATGCTGGCGGCGCAACCCTTCTTTGTGCTGGGCACCGCCTATCTCATGGAGGCGACGAATTCACCGCACTGGAGCCATGAGTCGGATTTCAAGGGCTGATACGTACCTCAAGAAATCACCCTTTCCAGGATTCACAATGTTCGCCAACCCAGTTTAAACTAACCACGCAAAGGGTGTCAAGCGGAATTGGGCAAACTATGTTCAAACAAGCAGGCGCTGGCACTGAAAAAAGGGGGGTTGTTGAAACAAAGCTCGAAGGGTCCAAGTACCTACCTTGTGAGGTATGCTTTGACCCCTTTTTAGGCATCGACCAACCCTACTAGCCTACCGAGCGAAGAAGACAGGACGGCAAGCTGAGCTGGAAGCGATTCCTGGCGGCTCTGGGCTCGCTGCTGCCCTTTGTGGTGGCCGTTTGGACTCGAGAAAGACGTCGAGTTGCGTCGGTGAGTCGTCAACCCATTTTGCGTGTCTCCAAATGAGGGAACCTCCACCAACATGGGCGGCTTCCTGTCGGCTTCCCTCTAAAACAACCTCAAAAGCAGGTACTAACTTCAAATGATCTGAGCGATCAGAGCGAAGGGGGGGGGCTTCAACCGGGAGGTTAGTCACTCAGCCGGGCCTAATAGGGCCATGAAGTCTGTTGGTGGGAAACGTTGGAACCCCATTCAACATGGTTGACCTTGGTACATCTGGTTGATACTAGATGTTGGCTATGACTCGGAGACTTGCCAGGGAGGGTGCCGCCATACGGTTCCTTCAGTATGGTTGTCCGGGGGAAATCGTTTTTTTTTTTTTGTGAATCGATCACTCGCGGGTCTCTTCGAGAATTGCAGAATTCATGGAGCCAGCAACTAATATAGCAAGCTCCAGAATTGTGCTTTCTGGAAATCAACCCAGACCACTTCTTCACACCAATTGCAGCCCAGGTGGGTGCCGAAGCAGAAACGATTGCCGAACGCAGCTTTGATTTGTCTGAAGTCTTTACTAGTAAATGCAATCTCAAGCAGCTTTTTGGGCCAGCAGGAGGGAGGACACTCGCCACTGGGTGAACTTGTTTGCGGAATGTGCATTGTGTTCTTGTGTTTGTCATTCAGTGTCAAAGGCGTGATGCTCCCCAGCCCCCAAGACAGAAGTTCTGGGAGAAAACAGCAACATCAGCAACCATTTCTGAGGACATGAAGGTCAGACACTGATGATCACTTCCATGCAACCAATCACTCAAGTTCTCTTTTCCGCAACCTGCTGCGCGGCTACTTTCTAAAAGCAAGGGGGCGACTTGTTCGCATGGCAAGCATGACCGGACTTGCGGAGAGGCATCCGAGTCCAACCAAACGGATGCTCAAACGGATGCATATCGCGGCCCGAGGTGGGCAGCGGCTTCGCCTCCTGCGGTCCAGCGTTGTGGGAGATCCTCGCGGGCAAGTGATGGAAAGAGCCATCCGAGGCGGTTCGGGTCCGGAAGAACTGGCATCGGTGAACGGTTTCCTTTGCCAAGGTGCAGACATGGGCAAATAGAGGGGAGTCGTGATTGAAACTCGACACCATGTTGCGAGGGGGAGTCGTTCAGCCGCGTTTTCAGCGCAATCAGGGCACGCGGCCCCCGCTTCTCCATAGGAATCATGCACAGAAAACGCCAGCGTGCGCAGCGGGTATTTTTTGCTCACACCTCGCTATTGTTTGCACAAAAGCGAGGTGCCAATCGTTTCAGTGAACCACAACCGGTCGTCCCACACCAAAGACGCCATTGGTCCATGGCATGGTGAATGGCGGCCGGGTCTTGCTTGGTGGTTTTCCACATGACGTGGCGCTTGCGCCTTTGCTTTACACTTGACACTTTCCGATGCTGAGACCTCGGTGGATGGAGGCTCTTATGGCTGAGCCATGTCGCGCGGGCGATGAGAAAAGAGCGCCAGAAGCACCTTCTGCTCACCTCATGCTCCCCCACGCAATTCAGGGCCTCGCTTTGGAAGCAATGCCAACTCGCACAGATGAGTCACCTGCTGAAATTGACTGACTAGTTGGCAAAAGGATGCCAAGAACCGAACAACTAGAGGGCGAGGACTCGTACTTGTTTTTCTCTTCGGGGGGATGATTGCTCAATTGGGAGCTGAGGCGCAATTCGTTTGGGATGCTCTTCGCCAGGCTGGGTAGATGCTCTTGGCGCGGGGGGATCAGGGTGACACTGACATAGCGTGAAACAAGTGTCAGGCAAGAAGAGGTTGGGAATTCTTCTTTAAAGGAACATGGAAGACGTTCTCAGCTCAGTAAGCAGCAGCCGGTGTTCCTTGCAATACCTCTTTGGGAACTATGTATATTTATATATATATATATGTATATTTGGCAGAGCTTTCGGAACGCAATGGTTTTTGTGGTGCATTATCAAGGCTTAAGGCTTGAAAAAACGCCACGAGTTGCAAGAAGCGACCTTGGCAAATTGCGCCGGGGTGAAAAGCCGGGGGTAGGTAAAGATGGTCATGAGCCTAGCCGATTCGTCGAATCTTGCCACTTTGTCATATGATATGATTTTACAACTCTTTCTCAGCCTTTGAAGGAGCTGCCGCAGGAAAGGTCAGCGAAGCCGGGTGGGGTGGGGTGTGACAAGGAGACAGTAAATAGAAATGGTAGAGCTCTTGGCATACATGGAGCTGTCAGGGCCACTCTAGAAGATGCAGCATCAAATTAAATATACCCTGAAAACCAATACGGAGCCTTGATAAGCCTCCCGTTCCATGCCATGATATTCCATGTGTGCTCCGTCGCTAAACAGAGGCAGAACACCTCTTGCAAAAGTCACAGAGTCATAGAGCAAAATGTGCGACGGGGCCATTTGTTTTGCATGCCCTGGCGCTTGACATGCGGCCGGCCTGAAAACCGACCTCTGGGGCTGGGGGTTGCTACGGATGCGGAGCCAGTGCTAGGCCTCGAGCCTTGTCGCGCGCAAGACGTCAAGGTTCTGAATCGCGGCCTCGGGTGGTTTGCCACCAATTTTGCGTTCGACTTCAGGTTGGCAAATTACTAATTACCAAGTCCCGAAATTGGTTGACAGCGACCAACAAGCTAGAAGGTGTCACCCGCAAGGTTTCACTGTGGCCGTCGGAGCTGCCTGGAAGTGACGAAAAGGGCCGCGCCTGAGCTCGGGAGGTTGGGAATTCTGAGCCACAAGGGACAGGTCTCAGCTCTCTGTACGCATCAGCCGGTCTTTCCTTGCTACCTCTTTGGGGGCAGAGCTTTCCGAACGCCACGGCTCATGCTGTGCCATGCTCACCGCTCGGTATCTGTGGCTTGCTTCGGGAAGCTGAAATTACATGCGGGCATGACCGAATTGAGTTAATGCTCTCAAACTTGTCAGAGAAGCATTGAGGAAATGGGCCCCCCATTTTGTCTCGACTCGAGTGGGAATCAACCGAAGCCCCTGGGCCTCCTTCAAGTCACTGCATCTTTCAGGATGGCGACCGGCTTTTTTTTGGATGTGCTTTTGGAGGTTCCTGTCGATTCATAGTTTAATGACTCCGTACAGGGAATGCACTTCAGGATATGGTTGGGCTTTTAATGGAGAACGTCCTCAAAACTGGTGTGTCGCAGACATCCCCTTGCAGAAAATGCCCACCAAGCGTCCTAAATTGACATTCATCCCCAAATCACTTGATGGCTGACTGACCCTGCAATTCCATGTGAACGTCAACTTCTATTTCCCTTTGTTCAGAAAATTAGCATGGAATGGGGGACCGTCGGGGGACCCTCCACCTCCGCTGAAGGCTAGGGCATGTTGCTATCAAAGAATTTGTGGCGACCGGACTCCAAACAACAGTTAGCCCACCATTTTGGAGATATCTTTCTGAGAACGCCTTAGTGATTTGCTTTTGGTTGCTGTTCTCCAAGGGTTTCCCGCTCTCTTCAGACATATCCGACATATCCTGTTTTGGGCCGTCTCCTGGAGAAGGATCCAATGCAAGAGGTTCCACCAAGGACCCAGACGTCCCTCGGTCGGGTGCGCCAGGCAATCCCACGAGGAGCAGGCCCGCACCAAGTCTGCTCTTACGAGTGGGTTTTTCATTGAAGTGCGCGAAGACAAAGCTTGAGGCAACAGAACCGGCCGCAAAAGGTTCGAAGCATGGCCATACAGACACTTGGGCAAGGCGAGTAGGAGGCACACTCACTCAAATGCTTGTTTTCGTAACAATCTAGGAACTGACAGGTTCCATGTTCTACTTTGGCGTACATGTTGGTGGTTTTCCAGATTGTGGACTCCGTTGCAGCGCATTACAGTTCTTGTGCGAGGTCACTCGGAAAGATGCGGACATTTCCGAGCGTGACAAGAACCTCCTGTGGCGGGCTGAGTCGGCTGGCTGGACCATTCTCAAAGGGTCAACGGACGAGGAATTACGATCCAACACCAGCTTCATACATTCAGAGGAACAAGCGGTGCCGCGAAAGGCTTCAGTAGTTTAGAGACCCCTTTCTTTTTTAAGTAGCGGAGCATCATGAGTTCCACGGAATATTTCAAGAACATCAACTCTTCCTTCTTCAGCAAAGGAAACTGCGTGCTGCTTACAACGAGAGACGGGAGATAGTTAGTTAGCAAACTCCATTGACCAGTCTTCGGACGGGGGCGGGACGGTGCCACTTGTAGTGCATTGTGGTCGGCAGCTGGGTGGAAGGATGTGAGGAACAGATGTAGCGGTTTGGGTGCTGCCCAAAGTGGAGCCTCTTTCGAATGGTTTTTCACATGTGACCATGATCCATGCTTGTCCCCTTGTGCCACTTGACCCAAGTTGAGCTGTTGCTACCTCAGGGGGAAACCGGTGGTAACCGCCAATTCTCTTGGCGCATTTCTTGGCAACACCGGCCAAGCGGGCAACCAGTCAACCCGAGGCACTTGCAGGCGAAGGTGGAATGCTTGGAGAACGAGTCCGCGATGAAGGACAGAGGTCCCTGCACCTTGAGACCTTCCCGAGCCACAGAGGGGACCACTTGGTCAGTCACAATGGCCCTGGGATGGCACTCGCTTGCCCAATTTTCCCGTATTGAAGAGGCTGGAATCTTGTTTGCTCATGTATTTTGGGGGTGCAGGACTTGCTTGAACCGTTGTTATTGACCGTCGGCGGTCAGCCAAGATAAGGGAGATTCGCTACACTCAGAGAGCAAGCAACGGCTCCGCCCTGCCCACAACAATGCTGACTGCTCTTCGCTATGGATGGAGAATTCTAGCGCGGAGACCTGACCTTCTGACCCTTTAGAGATGGGGAAGCGCCAAAACTGGGGCCCTGTGGAGACGTCGGGGAATGGATTGGAGTGCCGGATTTGCTGCCAGGATGACTGGGCCAGGAAGCGAGACGAGGCTTCTGGTAGGGATTGGCGACGGAGTTTCCCTTTCCCGGTTCGGGAATGAGCAAGCAGAGGGCAACGTCGGTGCTGGTTCTGGAGTGGGGGGGTTGGGCCGCGCGAGCCCGAAAGGCTGCTCGGAAGCTGGAGGGCACCCTGCGAACCACCACCAGCAACTTCGAGGCGGAAGTCGGGCAGGAAGCATTTCCGGGCTCAACCGACGGAGCGTACTGTGGCGCCCCTTCACGTTGCATTTTGAGGGCTCCTCAACATGACTTTTGGGTCCCGGTGGTTTCCCTTTTGACCATGCGGGTCATTTTCAGGATGTCACTGTGAGGGGAAGGGCTGAAAAGCTGCCATTGGCGGTGGCTTGTGGATGGGCCCAGTGTGAGCTGGGTTTCGACTCACCTGACGCATCGCCCGTGAGTCGTTCCATTTGACTGCTCTCTAGGCGCAGCTGTCGAAGAAGGACCAGGAGCCGGGGCGAGGTGGCAGAGACTCTGAGGGTTGGGCAGGTTTAGTGTCCAGGGAACCTAAAACCCAAAGCGACCTCGCTTGAGTTCGATTGAACAAATAGACGGATGGCAACTGGTTTCATTTTGGTTCCAATCATTTACCAGCATCATCGATTGTTCCAAAGAGAGGCTTTGGGAGATGTTGGGAGTGGATGAAAAATTGAAAGGGGAGGGTGTCCCGTTTCTTTCCGGGCAGGCCATGGTTTGCGGGAGCTTCAACATTCCAGTACACTGGGTGGATTGTCAAGTTCAGATTAATTCGGAGGACTGTACTAATTAGAGAACCCCCCTGGTGTCAAATGCATCAACATTCCGATGAGTACCATGCTAGGATACGTGCAATGTTTCCTCCATCGGCACCCGGCGCAGGAGATCGAGCGGTTGAACCAGGAGGTGCGGGCAAGGGATCATGAGATCCGGAAGAAGGATGGGGAGATCGAGGCGGCCAAGACAAAGGCCATGGGGTTGGTCTGGGAAGGACGCCACAGACAGAGGAGGGAGGCTTGAGGAACAAGTTGGGGTTGGAGCATTTGCACCTGACACATCCCCCTATGCGCTTGCTTGTGGGGAAGGCTGCTTGGATTTCGGT